AACCTCCTAGATCTTCTTAACTCATTAAAAACAAAAGAAACAAAATAGAAAACTGACTACTAAGTATTCGTTATGACTGTGCTTGAGACGAGTTGAAAAAATGTACCTCTTTTTTTTTTTTAAAGGCAACTGGGGTTAAGTGACTTGCCCAGGGTCACACAGCTAGTAAGTGTTAAGCATTTGGTCTGAGGCTGGATTTGAACTCAAGTCCTCCTGACTTCAGGGCCAGTGCTCTATCCACTGTGCCACCTAGCTACCCCTGTACCTCTTCTTCTTAGAGGCCACTTATTTCCACAGTAGGTAGAGTGCTAAGCTGAGAATTAGAAAGTCCTGAGTTCAAATGTGGTCTCAGATAGTTACTAGCTGTTTGCCCTTGGACAAGTCACTTCTGTCTCCTTAACTGTAACTTAACTTTTAGTCTCCTTAACTTTAAAATGGGGATAATAATATCACCTGCCTTTTAGTTGTTCAGCTGTGAGGTTCAAATGAGATAATACTTGTAACGTAATTAGCACAGTTCCTGGTTCATAGTAGGTACTTAATAAATGCCTGTTTTCTCCCCTGTCTCTGCTGAGAGTACCACCTTGTTCGTGTCCTTATCATCTGTAATATCTTTCTAATTGTCCTTTCTTCCTCTCGAATATGTTCTCTACAAAGCTACCAAAATAATTCTTCCCAGTGCACAATTAGAGCCATGTCCCTTCCCTGCTCAAAAACTGCCACTTGCTCCCTTCTACCTCTGGGATAAAATGAAAACTATTTAGCTTTATTACACATTATTGAAATTACTTTCCTTTATGTACATTTTGGTCCAGCTAAGCTTGACTTCTTACTATTCCTCTCACACAACATTCCAACAAGCTTCAGAATAGTTAGTTTCTAAGCTTTTATGCCTACTATCCTCCACGCTGGAATTCAATCCCCCTTTCCCTCTGCTTCTTAGAGCACCCAGCTTCCTTCAAGGTTCAGGGTAAGTGCCTCCTTCTCCATGAAGCCTGTCCTATCCCCTCCCCCCAGCTGTAAGTGTTTCCCCCCCAAAGTAAATATTATATTGTCTATCTATTTTGTATGTATACATGTGTGTGCATGTAGGCATATATGCATGTAAATGTCTCTCCATGGTAGACTGTAAGCTCTTGGAGGGCAGGTTCTGTTTTATTTTTGTCCTTGTATCTTCAGAACTTAGTACAGTTCCTGGAACACAGGATATAGGGCTTGGACCTGTGATTTCATTGATATGAGTAAACATCTTTAGCCAAGGCAGGCCAGAACCTTCTCTGAACCTTATGGTCTTAGAGCAGGGGTGGGGAACCTGCAGCCTCAAAGCCACATGTGGCCCTCTAGGTCCTCATGTGCAGCCTTTGACTGAAACCAGACTTCACAGAACAAATATCTGTTCCCCATTCTTAGAGAGTTGCCTAGAGCAGTGAGAGGTTAAGGCCTCTGCAGGATCAACCAGCCAGTATGAGACTGAGGAGAAATTTAAATTTAGATCTTCCAGGTTTTCAGGTCATCTCTCTTCCATTAGCCCCACTGTCTGGCACATATTAGGTACTGTATACACACACACACACACACACACACACACACACACACACACATATATATATGTGTAAATATATATATGTGTGTGTATGCATATATATGTATACACACACACACACACACACACACATATATATGTATACACACATGCATATATTTCAGTTCTGGAATCAGAAGTGATGGGTTCAAATTCTGATTCTGATACTTACTACCTGTATGACCATGGGCAAATCACTTAATGTCCCTAGTCTCAGTTCTCTCATCTGTAAAATAAGGTTGTCTGTTCAGATGGCCTCTTGGATCCCTTTCAGCTCTGAAACTATGATTCTATGTAAACCCCAGCTAATTTCCAAGGGGATAGTCACTAGTTTCTCCACAGGAGGAAGAAAGTTTCAGAAATGACTCAGGAAGACTATCTGTTAAATAATAAAGAATGATTTCAATCAATGTTGGCATAAGGAGTACCCTGGTCAACAGAATCAAAGGTCTTTGAAATACTAAATTTCCTATGTACTTTTGGAATACATGAAAGATTTAGGTGGGTATGTACAGTGTAGAGATGGTACAATGTCTATATCTGATGGAATGTCTAAGACATGGAAGTGATGTTGATATAATTGTATAATTACATATAATTTGAATCCAAGATTTTTATGTAGTGATGGTCTGAAAAAAAACAGTGAAGGATATATTCATAATATTAGTATAAGAAAAAAGAGGGAGCAGGTAAATTTGGAATGAGGAAGGAGAATCTGGAAAAAATGACGAAGGATGTGAGAAATGGTTGTTCATCAGGAATAGAACAAATGGTCCCCAGATCCAGATCCATAATTTTCACTCTGGGAGTTGCTCTGCTTGCAAGCTATTTTAATTATGTATGGCAAATGCCTGGAATGCACTGCCTCCTTCCATGTCATGGAATAATTAGCTTCCTTCAAAGAACAGCTCAGATCCCAGCTGCTATAGGATTTCTCTTCTTATTCTTTTTTGTTAGTACTCATACTTCCCACTAAAATTACTTTGTATGTATTTTGTATATAGCTATCATCTCCATGCCAATTTATACATAAACATTGAATGCAATATACTTCACTTTTTTTGTTGTTCTTGTTTCCTCTCAGGGAATATAAGCTCCTTGAGAAGAGAGCCTGTTTTTGTTTTTTTCTTTGAATCCACAATGCCCAGCACATAACCAATCAATAAACTCTTGTTGAATTGTGGGGGTTCTGGGTGGGTAGTGTAGGTTGAAGTAGGCCATTTCTTTTCTTTTTTAATCATGTCTTTTGTTTTTACCATCACAGGTATTTCTGGAAATGCTACAAACTCCAACCTCTTCCTCTCTCAGGTCCATTGCCACACACGTTGCTATTGGCACCCAACACAGAGACATTGCCTGACAACATATATACAATATTCTGCACTAGTAATCCCCCATCTCACTGCCAAAAGGAGAAAGATGTATTTCATTATGTGTTCTCCAGGACACATTATTTCATTTTATTTTTCTTTTCAATAGAAAAGTCAGACAAATTCGTTTCTGTCTCATTTCTTTAGTGTTCTGCTTTGTGACAAGTTCACAATTGCATTCAAAGCCTAACCCAAGAAAAAGGGAGGGGTAAAATGGGCTCTACCCTCCACGTTATCTGCCATGTACAGAATATATATCCAATATACAAGATAGTAGAATCATAAAATGAAAGAGTTGGAAGAGACTCTTAGAGATTAACCAACTGTTCCATTTTCGGGACCATGAAACTCAAAGGGGAAATCATTTCCCAAAGGTCACACAGTAATGAGACTGGAAGACAAATGAAAGTTTCTTCATTACTAAGCCAATACTTTTTCCTAGTATGTGCGTGCTTATATTTTTATTAATTGTTTATTATAATAATAATAATAATTATTATTATTATCATTGTATTTGTATGAATAAGAATAGCAATACTGATAGAAAAAGCCTTGCTGAAAAATGAATTTGCAAATCTGGCAGAGGAATTAAACCAAATGCAGACACTGAGAAAGAGAAAAAAAGTTGATTATCATCACAGCAACTGGAGTGATAACACATTATTATTAGTTAGATATATTGCAACTGGAAATTAGATTTGGTAACAGTTCAGCAGGTGGTACTTCTGGACTCCTGCCATATTGTGGGGAGATTTCTATTCCAATAATAAATCACTGAAATGTGCTTGGCCAAAGAACCCCATCTTGTTGTGAGTTTATACCATATTTGGCTGAATTATTACACAATAACTACTAATAATTATTTCTTCTCCTTTTCAGGGTTGGGGTGTTCTCTTCAGGACAGCTGAATGTTTTATTTGGCTAACCAATCAGCCTGCCCTATACAGTTTCTGGGATGCTTATTATCCCTTCAATGATTTTGGCTGTTTCTAGTACCACTGAAAACTATTCAACAACCTTCTAGTAATCTCAACATCATGTTTTGCTAATTTTATTTCCAAAAATCAGCCACCCTGTGGATTTCCAATAACATGGTTTTTTTTTTCTTTCTCTCTCTTTTTTTTTTTAAATCTGATCTGAGACTTATCACATAAACATTTCACAACAGACATTGCCAGAATTAGGAATCTAGGACTATGCATGTGGTTGAGATTTGGCAAAATGTTTTTCAACACAAGACACTTGGGCTAAGCTATTGCAAAACTTTTATGTTTTAACCATTCAAATTAGCTTTCAAAACCAAAGTTGGAAAAGCAGTTAATGTATGTCTACAAACTTAAACTGATATTCATATGTGTTAAACTATGTTTAATTGATTTTCCACTTTGGACACTGAGAAATAGGATTTTTGATGCTCTTGAATAATTCAGAAGTTTTATTCCTAAGGCCAGTAAAAGAGGGAGAACATGGAATGAAAAAAAAACAACAACAAATTATTCTTGTAGTAAAGGTCAAAAGGACAAGCTGGCCACAAGTTGGTAATAGGGCTATAAATCTGGAGTCAGTGTGGTCTTAACTAACTGTGTTACATTACCTTGTTGAAATTTTCTTGCTTAAAAAAAATGCATTGCTAGGCAGTTAGCTGAAAAAAAAAAGAAATGGGGGAAGTGTTAATTTTTAAGCAAGTTTGACAAAGATTGAGTTTCATATGACAAATATTGTCAGCAAGACAGGATTCTGTCAGGGGAAGAAGTTTAAACATTAACAATTTCTGTCAGGCTGTTGACACAATCATGGCAGACGTTTCCCAAGATGCCGAGATGACTGCTGGCATTTGTCAACAATCCTGTCATAGTGACAGCAATAAGACCATGTCTGGAAATGTGACAGTTTTGGCTTTGTGCTCCCCTGAGCAATAGCCCAGGTGTTCAGAGAAAGTGTGGGAAAACCCATATTTCTGCATTGTCATTCGAACACAGAAAACACAGGAGGAAAATGAGCTGTCACTCCAATTCCCATGATGCCTTGCTGCTTAGCATAACTCCACAGTGCGGCCCCAGGTCCACTGGTCCATACTCTGACAGATAATTAAGAAAGCAGCAGCTTTTTCTAGACGGCTCTTCCTCATGATTTGCATTTTAGCCAGAGGCGACCAGTTATAAAAAAAACATGATGGAAAGATGGTAAGAAGCCAATTAGATGGATGGATGGCTGACTGACAGCTCTCTGGTAATACTACTCCAGATTTCAGACTACATAGCCTGGCAGTTTTCTACAAGAACCAACTTTTTTGCAGGTTGGTAAAGCTGTTAAATGTGGGGCTATATATAGAGCTAAATAATTTTTGCAAAGTTGTACATTTTCCTTAAATAAGCATGTATTCTTTTCAATCAGAGTTTGCATTAAACAAGTTTTCACAATTTAATCACAAGTTGCGTCACTGAATTTTAGCAATATTAAAATTCTAGACAACTTGTAGGCACATTAGCTGCGCCAGTGGAGAAGTGATTAAAAAACTGAGAACCACATTGGGCCAGCAAAGATAAAGTAAGTTGATGATTAGTGTCTGTGCAAATATGTCTTTTTAAACTTTGAAATGTGCATTATCTTGTTTTGAGAAATAAGAACTTAAACCCTAAACTTACCTCCTCCCAAGCCCCCAGACTCCACATACATACATTTTCTTGTTTTGGCTTTTACTTTTAAGGTATAAAATATGCTTGTTTTTTTTTTAAGTTATTCTAGCTAATTTAGGAATATACAATAAACTGTTAGTCACTGCCTTCCAGTTTGGCCATGATATTTCAATAGCTCTTAGCCAATAGGAGTCTTCTTCTCTCCTAGTGTTGTCCAAGGGCTCTGTATACCGCCATAGAATTGGAGCACGAACCATGTTTTCTGTTTGCTTTGGGTTCATATTTCATTTCATTTTTAAGCAGACTATTTGGTATAGCAATGACACTTCTCCATCTGTAGTTTGCAATGGGAGGATTCTCTTTCAAAGTCGAAAGATCCCCCAGCTTTACTTGGGATTCAGAGCTGCGGAGGGCAGGCAATTATTTCTTGATAAATGGATGTTTCAGCAAGGAACATTAACCCAAACTAGGGTTGTGATGCGTATTTTCTTCCTGTCAATAGGGAATCATCTACAAACTGAGATTGAACATTAAACCTGTGGGGGGTAGGGGAGGAGGAGGCTGATGAATAGATTTAAAAGCACATATTTCATGTTCATTTTCTGATATATAGTTAATGTCAAAATGTGCAAAATATATAAATCATGCCCCAAAATGACTTAATGCTTAATGTATATTTCAACCTGTTTGTGTTTTTTTCTTCCTTTCTTTCTTTTTTTCCTTCCTTCCTTCTTTTCTTCCTTCTTCCTTCTTCCTTCCTTCCTTCCTTCCTTCCTTCCTTCCTTCCTTCCTTCCTTCCTTCCTTCCTTCCTTCCTTCCTTCCTTCCTCCCTCCCTCCCTCCCTCCCTCTCTTTCTTTCTTTCTTTCTTTCTTTCTTTCTTTCTTTCTTTCTTTCTTTCTTTCTTTCTTTCTTTCTTTCTTTCTTTCTTTCTATGTTTTCTCATGATATTTTTTCTTCAGCTGCTTTATTCTTTTATTTTTATAATTATTTCAACCCTTTTCTTTCTTTTTTCCATTCTTTTTTTTTATAATCCACTGGATTAGGTTTGGGAGTAATTGTTTTGTAGGGTCTTTTAGCCCTAAAAATTATTTTCATTTCCCCAACCGGTTTGAGAGCAATGCTAAAATATACATATCACGCTCACCGTTACTACTGTGGGTACATCTTATATAAATGGACCTGGAACTTTCAATAGCCGTTTAGAAGATATTTTTAACTCTAAAGATTGGACTTTAAATCAGGTTGAACTAAACATATATAGTTTGTCATTAGAAACTGCAAGATTTGCCTGTTATGTGCAACAAAATCCAAAAAGAACAGCATTATATCTTGAAGAGATTTTTGCTAGGTTGAGGTTTTCTAAAAGAATACACTGCACATCTATATCCTTATAAAACCTTATAAAATCACTTTAATTTATCAACATATGCATTATGTCACAGCTGATTTCTAATAAGGGAGATAAATTCTAGCAAAAGGGATATTTTGACCAATCAATCTACCATCACCACCCAATCATTATTAAAATCATGTCTTCAAAACTTCTGGTTTTGTGGCTATTTCTTCTCACTTTATATTTCATTCCTGCTGAATGGTCTTCACTGTTTTTCTTAAAATTTAGTTCACTTTTGAATTCTTGGGATAAAGCTTTTTTATGTTTCATTTTTAAAAGCAGTAGAGGAAGTTTTGTATCTTCTTAAAAACTGTCTTTTATGTAAGTTTAAGGGAAATTATAAAAAGTTATTCCTGTTGAATTTTTTAAATATAAACTTGCCTTCCTTTATAAAAATCATCCTTTTGTTTTGAATTTAATTGAATTTTTCTTAAAAAAAAGTACTCCCTTGTAACCAGTAGATTTTTAGAAAGAAGAGCATGCTGGCATTATTATTTATGAAAATATGTCCATTGCTTTGTGGCCAGGCATACTTGCCTGAAAAAAATATGAGAATATCAGACTCAAAATTCAAAGACAGTCAGATTATAAATGGTAGTCATCTCAACATTGAAATTCTGGGTATCAGTCTAAGGTTTCAAGGAGGTCCAATGCTGATAGAAATACCAATAAATTCCTCAAAGGAAAATATCGAGTCTGCAGCCCTGAGTTTAGAACTATGTTCAGAACTATGACTTTTCAGATGTTTGAGCAGAAAAAAGTGAGAAAGGGAGAGACAGAGAGAGAGAGAGAGAAAGAGAGAGAGAGAGAGAGAGAGAGAGAGAGAGAGAGAGAGAGAGAGAAGAGAGAGAGAGAGAGAGTTTTATATAGTAAGCAGAAATAAAATTATTCTGGATTTGTCTCAAGTATAGATGAGAGGAAAATGACAAGTGAGATGATAAAATAAATTAAAAAGTTATATATTCTGTGCACTAATAAGAGACAGCAAAACTTATCATGTAAGTATATTTATATAAAATCCATTACTAAGAAGGTTCAGAATAAAAAGCTATCCCCATGTCCCAACAGATGGCCCATAGAAACAAAGCAGTGTGGATCCAGTATGCAAATGTTATATAACAAATATAAATGCTTTTTTTTTTTCCTGGTCCCTAATGTTCTCTTTAAAGAAAATAAATCATAAATTTATACTTCTTTTGCCATCATATTATGCTTTAATTACTGTTCAGATTTTCTTAACACCATCACAACAATCTGAACCCTCAAATAACAATATACCACATAGTGATTCAGTAGATAAGACCACATGAGAAACACCTCTCCCAGTCTACAGCTATGTTCAAAATAATTGTGAATTGATTATTCCTTACAAATCCTGAGTACCCATTCTGTTTTACCTATAGGTGTGATGCATCAGGAATGGAATTTTACCAATTCATATCTTTTTCAACAAAATTCATAAGAAAAACAAAACAAGTTGACTCAATTTTATGGTTCATTAGTTAGTTAGAAATCCATAAAACTATTAGTTCTGAATTACATATAAAAGTTTTCCAGCTCTCAAGCATAAGAAAAACTCTTGGAGTCCAAGAAAACATGTATAAGTACCACATTTTTTTAAAAAAACTTTTCTTATGTCTGCAACTGATCATTCAATATAATCCAACAACCACTTATTAAACAATAACCATATACAACACATTGTGCTCAGACAAGGCTGAAATAAGGTATACCCCTACCACCACCACCTTGAAGGAGCTTACAGGTTAATGGAGAAAGGATGGAATGTGAATAACTAACTATAATGCAAGATAAGATATGTCACATGCAAAGCAGGTTTGGACAAAGTTCAGTGAAATATTTTAGGAGGGAAAGATAAGTTACAGTTTGGATGATTAGGAAGTAATTTATAGAGGAAGTAGCACCTAAATTTGTTCTTTAAGGAAGGGAGAACTTCAACAGGCAGAGATGGGGGCCAAGATAGGGGTGAGTAGGGGCAAATGAAATGAATTTGATTATAGGATCAAAGATTTAGTTGAGAAAAATCTCAGAGTTTATTTCATCAAATCTTCTCATTTTACATATGAGTAAACTGAACCCCAGAGAGGTTAAGTTATTTGTCCACGGTCACAGAGCTCTTACATAGCAGAATCAGGTTCTTCTGACTCTATCTAATTCTCTTTCCATTGTACCATTTTCATTCCAGGTAGAAGAAGGTGATATGAACAAAGGGGAAAAAATAAAACAGGAGACAGGCAAGAATGTAAGATAATGAAAAATCCAGTTTGGCCAGACCAAAATTAATTCGCTTGGTTGGAGCAGGGGTAAATGCTCAAGTCAGGAATTTGGCCAATGGCTGCACCAGTCTTTGGCTCTGTTCCATTGCCGCAGACTGTCCCCTCCTTCCCACCAACTCTAAAAAGTTATCTTGGAAATACATTCCATATGTCACAAAGGAGACTAGATGAGAGAGCGTGGGTGGTTCAACAGCATTTTAAAGCTCACAAACTGGTTTCCTCTCTTAACCCTTTGAGTTAGGTAGTTATCATGATTTTAGAAATAATCACAACAATCATAGTGATGGCTGGCAATTATTTTTAAATCTATAAGGCTTTAAGGCTTGTAAATACTTCGTACTTATTTGAGATTCACCACAGTCTTGTAAGGTAGGTGCTATTATTATTTCTATACTTCAGAAGAGAAATTAGAGGCTTCAGAAAGGTTAAATAACTTACCCTGAGCTACACAGCTGATCCGTGACAGAGGTAGGATTTGAACCAAGGTCTTCCATCATATAACCATACTGCTTAAGTGAAGACATTGATAATCTAAAAAATAGGTGAGTTACCTTTGGTCAGAAAGCACATAAGTGGCAGAGCTAAGATTAAAACCATAACTCTAAGTCCAATCTTATTTGAAAATCCATTTTTGAAATATATAAAAAAAATCTGTTTATATTCATACGTGAAATGCAAAATTTTTATTGACATGTTTTTGTCTCAGTACTCTACTGCTACTCTACTGCTAAATAAATCAGTCCAACACTTATGTCTTCAACTTCTCCTTCAGAGTGAGTTTAGCTTGGTAACTTGTAAAGATCTCATACTCAAGGGGCAGCTAGGTGGCACAGTAGATAGAGCACCGGCCCTGGATTCAGGAGGACCTAAGTTCAAATCCAGCCTCAAACACATTAGCTGTGTGACCCTGGGCAAGTCACTTAATCCCACTGCCTAGCAAAAAAAAAAAAAAAGCCCCCAAAAAGAAGATCTCATACTCGAAGGAAAAGAGACTGCTAGGTTAGGTCACTGTGCAAATCAGCAGAACCTTTAAGGATACAAACTAGCCACTACTAGCTTGCAGCAGTTCTGGGCATATAATAGAATGGAACCAGCCTATTAACATAAGCCTTGTGTTCACTCTTCTCATCTAATTTTTAAACAGTGAATAAAAAATCTGTTATCTCTACTGATTTACACCTTCAATTCAATGAAAGGCAACTGTTCATTTATGGTATGGGTAAATCCTTTGCTTAGTATATTGGGAGACACAGCAGTAGAATGGGCCAGACTTGGAGACAGGAAGACATAGGTTTCCTGCCTCTGACACCTACTAGCTGTGTGACCCTTGGCAAGTCAAGTAATTTCTAAAGGCCCAGATAACTCTAAGACTTTAAGTGATAGAGGAGTTGTTGGTAAAGAATGTTACCCTGCCTGCCTTAAAAATGGTAATCAGTAGAGGTATATTTTATGCAGAAAATGAGAGATTAGCAAAGCAAAATAATAATAATAATGACTTATTATTATTATTTCTTTCTCTGTGGGAATTTAAAAAAAATAATCTTCTTAGCTCTATTTTGATTTATTTTGCATAAGGTGTTATATATATATATATATATACACACACACATTGTGTATGTATATATATATACATATATACACACATACATACATACATACATATATACACACATACATACATACATATACACACACACACACACATATACACACATATTTATGTTGCTATGGCACTCACAGCCATTCTCAGACTATCCAGATGCCAAGTGGACATGAAGAAGCCCTTGCCTTGCTTTGTGAAACAAGTATGTTGCTCCTCCTTATTCACAGGGAGTAATTGGGGACAGTTCATAATAAATGCAGGTTGAAAGCTGCTGAAGAGACTGAGGAGAGGTAGGCTATTTACTGAGGGTAGGAATTACATGCAATCATTATTCAAATTGGAATATTCTAATGAATAACATAGCCCTTGGAGAAGAGGGCAAAGGACAGTAGAACACCAGTACTGCCTCCTTTACCATTTTTCTCCCCAGTGTCAAAGACTTGCAGTATTGAATCACTTTCTATTCTGTTTCTAGTCCTTGGAATGCCAAAGAACCTGTAATGTATATTTTGACTAGCTAGAGTGGTTTGGGGGATTTGTACTCAATCTCTATTGTACGCCAGCAGAGAAGCTGAAACATAAATTCTCTTAATGCTAGGATTAACTGCCAGTAGTATAAGTCAAAGCCTGTTACAACAAACCCCCATTATAATAAAACTCTATGTAACAACAACAAAAACAAAAATTTTTCAAGACCCAGCTGATTACCCAAATCAAATCTTATACATTCATTAAATGACCAGTATAACTGCTGAAATTTAGATAGCCATCTTGGAGTTCATAGAATGGGATTTGGCCACAATGAAAACATAACTTCCTTGGAAAGTTTAGAAAAATAATCCCATTTTGATTCCATGGGGCAGCTAAGGTGGCACAGCGGATACAGCCCCAGCCTTGGAGTCAGGGGGCCCTGAGTTCAAATCCAGCCTTAGACACATAACATACACTAACTGTGTTAACTCTGGGCAAGTCACTTAATCCCATTGCCTAGCCAAAAAAGAAAAATAAACAAAAAAATTGATTTCATGTAGAAATATGTACCCAACTTATTTTTGTTTGTTTTTGCTGGGCAATGGAAGTTAAGTGACTTGCCTAGGGTCACACAGCTAGTAAATGTTATATGTCTGAGGTCAAATTTGAACTAAGGTCCTCCTGACTCCAGGGCCAGTGCCATATCCACTGTGCCACCTACCTGCCCCCTCCCATATGTGCCTAATTTGATCTGTCATCAAATCAAGAGGGTAAAGCCTGGGTTTTATTGCTGTTTCTGCCATGTCCCAACCCCATTTTTGTCTTTCCTTCCTCTAACCTGATCTATACTATGTAGTCTCTTAATTGATTGTCTTACCACAAGTCCTAGTCTATTACAGTCCATCCTTCACAAAGCTACCAAAACAATTCTCCTAAAGTTCAGTCTGACCATGTTATTCTTCTATTTAATATTTTCCAGGAGCTCCCTGTTACTTCTAGAAATGAATCTAATCTATACCATTTGGCATTTAAGGCCCTTTACAACCTGGCCTCCCCCTCTGATTCTAGGCTTGTTACACATTTTCTCCCCTCCCATTCTCTGTGGTCCAGTAAAATTAGCCTTATTGTGGTACCTCACACATAACACTCTATTTCCCATATTTATGCTTCTGTACTGGCTGTCTCCATTACAAGAATTCACTCTCCTCTTATTTCCATATCATAAAATTCTTACTTTCCTTCAAAACTCACTTTAAGCACTGCCACCTATAGGAGGCCTTTCCTAATTCCCAAGCCACTAATTCACCTTGTACCTATTGTGTACTTTTTTGGTATTTGTCTTTATACATACATATCTTCTGAGTTAATATTAGCTTTTTGAGAGTAAAGACATATCTTTGTCTTCATATCCCCCAAATCTAGCACAGTGGCCTGGCACATAGGAGGTGGTTAATAAAACCTTGTTGATTGATTGGTTGATAATGACCTTTAAGATCCATTCTTGTTCTTATATGGTGTCTCCTTTCTCCTTCCTTTACTGACGTTAATCAAATGTATGAAACATCTGGGAAAGGGAGTTAGAGTTTACTAGCAAATTTTAATGTCAAAAGGTTTATTTTGTTTTAAAAGGACAGGGTATTTAAAATAATACTTATATCTTACTATTGTATAATATTTAAATCTTTGCAAAGAGCTTTACATATCTTATCTCATTTGATCCAAATTAACATCAATTTCTTACAACTTCTAATTTGTGTCTATAAGCCCTATTAAACAATAGCAGAAGGCATGATGACGATGATGATGATGATGATAGATTAACTTACATTCTAATAATTTTATTAGCTACTAGAAAATAACATTTATTTTACCCACCTGTGCAATGGTCCATACAACATTAATTATAAATGAAATATATCAAGATAGTCACTAGTCACAGGACATTGCCATCTAAACCACTTCAAATTAAGATAAGAACATGATGATGATGATAAATTTCTTTTTATAATTCATTTCACTTAACACCCAAAACAATCCAAAGAGGTAGATAATACAAGTATTATACCCATTTTACAGATGTAATAACCAAAAATTTAATGAAGGTCTTCTGCTTTAAGTTTTGGCTCTGATATTAGTCAGAGGTGACACAGTAGTCTTTGCACCATATACAAATTTGGGCTCAAGAAGTCACAATATATACTTGAACCATCAAAGAAATATTCCCATTTTTTAAGTATATGCAATATGCTGAATCAAGTAAATGAACTAGTTTCTTTTAGAAAGGTTTTCCAGGAGATTAGCCTTTGGTTTACCAGAAGTTTTAGTTAATTATAATACCCTATTCCCCAGAATTTCCTGGTTGACCAAAGTTTTGTTGTTTGTTTGTTTATTTTCATTTATAGGCATAAGAGATGGAAGAAGAACTTGCCTGAAGTGCTTTTCAAATATTTGCCATGGGGATAAATACCTTCCTCACAGAGTTGTTGTGAAGAAAGAACTTGGATAACCATAAAGAGCCAGAGAGATAGTATAAACTTTTGGATAGTCTGATGGATTTTGGTATGAGGAAATATGGGCTTAAATTTCACTAAGGTATTCATTAGTTATGTGACCTCAGATAGTTCTTTTAACCTCTCTTGGCCCCCAATTCCTCCTCTATAAAATGAGAGGGTAGGTCCTATTTAACTGTGATCCTTTTATGTAATGTGAGTTATTACTATATTAAAGAAAATATCATTGCAGATACATCCTGACCCCTTGTTAAATGACAGTATTTTTTTCCTGCGAATACTTGTTCTATCCAATCATCCCCTTTATCGTCTACCTCATTACATCACCTTTCCCACTTCAGTGAGCCACTCACTGAAATTTTAGCCATGTTTATTACTACTTGGTAATTTCTACCTCCTTCCCTTTACTTATACCATTTCCTAAGCACTGCCTGCTTGCTCCATGTCCTCCATCTCTACTCAAACTTCTATCTCCCCTGCATAGGTTATGCTAGATTTTAGCCATGAGTAAGATCTGATGGTGAGATTTTGTCTTATCATTCCATGCTTTACCCCATGTACCCACATCCTTCCTCAGTCAGAAATTATCCTCTCTTTCTTAAACATTGTATTGCATTATGTATAGTTCCTATTTATTTATTCTACTTTGTATTATTGGAATTGGGATCATTTGTGTATATATACACATATATAATATCACTAGATTATAAGTTCAATGAGGTAAGCTAACATATACCATTTTTGAAAACCATAAGGTGCCCCTAGTGTGTTCAAGTCTCACCTCTGACCCCTACTGGCTAGATTACACTGGACAAGTCATTTAGCCTTTCAGTGCCCCCAGGCAACTCTTGAAGGATATAACTTGGGGAACCAGTTGCTGATCTACATGGGTAGAAGAAATTTCTTCACCAAGGAACTCCCTATGCCTATGCAATTGTAGGTCCAGACCCTCCAAAATCTCCACCAGCTACAGCCCAGTGCTCAAAACATACTAGCTAATCAATAAAAGTTTACTGAATTGAATTGAATTATGTAAATATATGTGAGTTATAGATCTACAGTTGCCCCCATTGAATGTGCACTCAAGGCAGGGAGATGACACATATTCAAAAAATAAATAACAATATACACATATATTAGGAAAAATAGAACATATTCAATGTGTGATGCTTACATAGTGCTATGAGAATTCTATATGGGGAAATTAATGAATCAATCGATAAACGTTTGTCAGGAACTTACTAGGAGGCAGGCATTGTGCTAAGTTCTAAGTTTTCACACAGAAAAAATCTCTGGCTTCAGAAGACTTCATGGAAAAGACATTTTAGACTCCTCAGAAAGGTTTAATCTTCCAATTAAAATGCATTCATCTATGTGCAGGGAGGATATTAACAAGTAGTAAAAAGAGTAAAGAATTCCAGACGAAGGGAACTACATGTGTCATGAGAGGATCAAAGGTGGGAAAACATGGTAAATATCCTTGGATGGTAGATAGTCTAGTACTGTTGTTTCATAGAGTTTATGAAGGGGGTAAGCATGATAACATAAGATTGTGCAAGTAATTTGGAAATTTGTAATAGGACAGAAGGGAAGAAAGTTTTATGCAGCCGGAACCTTTCTCCAAAACCCCTCAAATCTCACTAGGTCTATCATTGGTAAGAAGATCTGACATTTTCTGATTCTCCAACTTAAGCTGAACTTAAGCCTTTGAGATAAAAAAAAAAATCTTCCCTAGAAGTATGTCCAGAATTAGGAAGGCATGTCTACACTAGCCTTGATCACAAGGAATTTTCAGGGTGGCAACTGAGGATCACAGGCAAACCCTAATTGGCTGACCTGTCTGAACAAGAAAAATTCAGAGTTCTAAGAGCAGAAAAAATAAGAGAGAACAAGACCAAGGAGGCACTGAAATATGAAGATAAAATCAATACAGAATTGCCTGGGAAATCAATAGAAGGATAAAGGACTTGCAGAGTAGAAAAAAAATATATGTCCTGTCTGCAGTACAAGTGAAAACTCTGGCAGGCCTGTTTTGAACATGTTGCAATCCTGTAATTAAAGCTCAAGGGAGGCATGCATAGAGGGAATCCTAATAATCAAGTATAAGAGATGCCATAGAAATAAGTGCCTTCTTGTCAGTGAAACAATTCCACAGGCACACGCTAATTTTTAAATGTATGTGCTCTGTAAATTCTTTGTTGAGTATGAAACTGCATTCTTGAAGCACAAAATAGTTGCAGCTGCCCACCATTCAACAGGTCAGTATTTCCTTGAACAATGACTGAATCTGGGGGCCCCAGTACTACCTTGGGGTGCCCATCAAGGTGGAAGATGATATTCTCCTAAATATCCAATTTGCTACTCAAAGGTACAGAAGTTATGAGGAGAAAATCTTTCACTTTTATAGACATTTAAGGGAAGTGGAACAGGTAGCACAGTATAGTGGGACCTTTTTTGTATTGTGGAAATCTTTGGCAGTCTGGTGAACCAATGGACTCCTACAAATAAGATTTTATAACTCGTAAAATATTGAAATACAGAAAAAATAAAAAGTTCATGGAACCCCTGATTAAGAATCCCTGGGTCAGAGAATCATTTTCATGGTGATTGAGGGGAAAAATGACTTTCTGTTCAAGTAGCTTACCTGAAGCCAAGGAGACAGGTGGGTAATATAAGTGCAATGATTGGGGACCATTTCCTTGTGAACAAAATCAATTTGCTACCAAAAGATACCTCTAGGAGCCACAAAGGTCTCTTCTCTTAACCTTCTAAAGAACTTTTTATCCACTTTTTCCATTACTTCGGAAGAGCTGAACTTAAAATTTACCAGCTAGATGTATATGTGACTATAATGTGACTGACTTAATAAAAACAAGACAAATATACCGAAGCGTCCCTTTCATAATATGTTCAGACTTCAAGCTACACTGCTAGAAATGCACCCCATGCTGCCTACTTTGAATAGCCTAAAAGATGCAAAACCTCACTATTTAATGAATGGGAAGTTGATTTTGACAAACAGCCAAATATCTTCCAGAGCGAAGTCTGGTGAACCACTTGGATAATATCATTTTGGGGTAATCCTCCCCAAAACATAAACAAACCAAAAGAATGAGATGTATCATCAATGTAATAAGATGGGTTCGTTTTCACCCAGCTCAAAAAAAAATCCCCCAAATCCAGAAGTTAAGATAAAAAAAAATACAACCTTTTAGGGCTACTGCTTTGGAAGGGACAACCTTCATTTGCATCTATCAATTCTAGTATGTCAGCTTAAAATATCCTTATTATTTTGTAGCTGTCGTTTGTTTATTTTCATAGAATCACTGGATCAAATGAACTACAGCCAATCAACTCCTCAATTTGCTTGCCTCAGGCAGAGTAGCATCTGAACTATCCCAGAGATATATAGCCTTCTGGTCTTTTCATTATAATTGCAGTAGCTGAAATTTATATAAGACTTTCTAGATAATCATGTTAATGCTTAGAGCAGCCCCGCAATATTGGTACTACAGGTTTTATCATTGCCTTTTTCAGACGAATGAAATGAGGGTCAGAGAGTTAAAATGACTTCTCTCTGGTCCTGCCACTAGTGTGAACCCAAACAAAATTTGAATCCTAGTCTTTCTGACACCAGCTCCAGTATTATATCCTCTATGCCATAGAGGATATAATGCTCCTCTATGTTCCTCGTATGCTCCTCAGTTTTATTTAATGGAAGAAATTCATACTTATTTATTATCTTCTCCTCTAATAGAACGTATCTTTGAGGATAGGGACTACCTCATTCTGGACCATGTACTCCCCAGAACATAGCAAAATCCCTGGTATATATAGGGATAGGATCAGGAACTGGGAATTTATTGGTATTAGGAACCACTGGATAAGGAAATGCCCTTTACCAATGTAGGTTGACATTTTCTCTGCAACTTATAGTCTTGGAGAGCTGCCTAGAGTACAGACAATATAAAAGCTTGTTCAGGGTCACACAGATAGTATATGTCAAAGATGGGACTGAAACCCAGATCTTCCTGGTTCCAAGGCCAATTCTCCAGCCAATCCTCTATTCTGCCTGACACACAGTAGGTGCTTAATAAATGTGTTGATTAATTAATTGCTTAAGATTATAGTACTAGAGATCTTTATTTTATCCATTTCTGTGCAGGAAAGGAGATAAGGTTGATGGCTTATTTATCTCTAAAATATTGGGGCTACTTAATTTTGCTTCATCTCCAGAATTATAAAAAGGCCCATGTTAAAGTCAAATTTTGAAAAAAAGTCAGATTATGGCCCTGAATATGTTGTATGGTTATGGCCAATAGTGTTACCTGCCTATATCCAAAGCCCCTGGTTATTTAGCTTTGCCTAGTTAATTCACTGGGCTAGTTCCCTGATAAAGAGATTGACATTTCAGAACCACAGTAAAATCTCTAGATTTAAAGAAAGACTCTTTCCCCATTTCCTAAGGTCTGAAGTTAATATCTATTGAAACAGAAGGTAGTGTGGTATATTAAAAACACTAGTATGGTCATCTCCCACATGATTATCTCTAATTAATTTTCTATATATCATGCTTGTACATAGTTGTTTGCTTGTTTTCTCCTCTGTTAGTCTGCAAGCTCACTGAGAGAAGGGACTCTTGTTTCCCTTTCATGAACGGAAAGACAATGCACCTAAGTTCTGTTTCTACTTCTTCAGCTAATTAAATATGTGACCTTGGGAAAGTTAGTTTCACTTTCTAAGCCTCACTTTCTTCCTCTATAAAAATAAGATGGTTAGAATAGTCCATCCTAATATGTTTCTTAGCTCTAGTATTTTGTGATTCCATGACATCAGGGCAAAAAAAAAATCCATAGCCTTATGTATTTAACTCATTTCAGAGTCACATCAACTGAAGTTGGGAAATTTAGTAAATCTTTACATCTAACTGAAGTTTGATCATAATTTATTTTTGGTTTGTCTTTTGTGGAGATAGAAAAGAGTCAGTTGGCCACAGTCCTTTATATTAAGGTTATTTTTACAATGAAGAAGGTGGGGGTGACATTGGGAAGGCAGGAAACGTGCAAGCTACTGAAAGGCTTGAGTCAATCAAAAAGAGATTAGTCCTAGAATTTTAGATGTCATCCACAGAGGAATGCAAACAAATCTGTAAGATTAAAAGACATTCTTCAAGTGGTCAAAGCACATGGTCAAATAGTTTTCAAAAGAAGAAAGGAAAACTATCCACAAGCATCTAGAAAATTGTTTAAAGGTACTAATAATCAGAGAAATGAAGATTAAAACAACCTTTAAATCTCAACCTATACATATTGAATTACGAACTATAGTAAAAGATGGAGAATTACAATGTTGGAAGCCATCTGCATTGATTCCTTGTATAATTTGGTATTAAAGAATAAAAAAGTAATAAATTGTTCACAAACTTTGAAAAGTATTTTTATCTCAAGATTGATTTCAAAAGTATTAATTTTTCAATATATTTTCCAAATATATTTGTTTTGCCACAGCAATTCCACCAATCTCCACAATGTAGAAGTTTCCCAAAACAGTTAAGCAAAACTACCGAAACGTGTGAGTATGACAGTGCACATAAACTTCTATTTATGTAGTCCAGTGATTGATGACAGATGAAGAATTTCTGCTTTGGCTTTGATATTGTGGTACTAGTATTACATTTTTTTTCTGAGTTTTATTGTCATTTGCTATCATCTTTTGGTTCTGTTTTATTCTACATCACTTTATATGTCTCTGCATGTCTCTGAATTCTACATCTTCGTCATTCCTTACATGAGTAATGTTTTATCGTGTCATAATTTGTAGTTATTCCCTAATCATTGAGCACAAGTTGTGTTTTCATTGTTATATCAAAATGTTATCATTTAATGCTACGTATTTTTTATACATATATGGGGCATTGTGTTCTATTAGTGGATATTCAGGAATATAACCTCAGTGGTGGGAACTCTGAGTCAAAGTGCATGAGCAATTTTGTTATTTTTAATAACAACAACAATAAAACAACAACAACAACAACAACAACAACAATAATGTATTCTCAGTGAGACTGATTAGATCAATTCACAGCTCCACCAGTAGTGAATTAGCATGGATGTTGCTAACACTGTACTTTCCCATCTTTTAATGGTTGCTAATTTGATCAGTACAAATTGACAGCTTTAGGCTGTTGTAAGTTTCATTTCTCTAAATGCAAGTAATTTTGAGCAATTTTTTCAGATGGCTGCCGGAAGTTTTCATCTCTTGGAAACTGTTCATGTGCTTTGACCATTTGGTGACTGACTTTTTAATCTTACAGATTTTAGTCAATTCTCTGGAGATTTTGAATGTCAGATACTTTAAAAATGAAGTTTAGTGCTGAGACTGCCTCTTCCAATCTAATTTCCTTCTAAGTCTGGTTGTATTGATTTTAATAGTGCAATTTTTTTATTTTATCTACTTGACAGTTTGGTTTTTTTTAAGTTTTATACTAATTGATTGCCTCATTACAAATTCTTTCACTATGAAGTAACAAACATTTATTAAGAAATTATGTCTCAGTTATGAGGATAATTATATGAGAATACAAACACAAAAATGAAATACTTTCTGCCCCCAAGGAGTTTACATTCTGAAAAAAAAGTTCAGATAACACATATAACTACTAAATATATACAAAATAAATACAATTTAGGAAAATTTGTTAGCATCTGAGAAACAAGGAAAGGCCTCCACACTTTCCCCTACAATACATACCAGTCAAGATTTATGCTACAAGGTCTTAATTCACCTCTGTTATTGTTTTGACTATGTCTATTTCTTTCTCTATCTCTATTGCCACAACATATCATATAGCTTTCTATTTCTAGAGTCTTGGTTAAATATTGACCCTTTTAACATATCCACATTAGGAAGCTGCAGCTTAATGCTGCCTCCCCAAACAGAGATGGGCTCTCCCATTTCCTTTTCTGTGGCAGAGACTGAACACCTTATCTCTATAGCATTTGGAAAATCAGATCCATGATTGGATGTGCCCCAAGATCCAGTTATGAAAAAAAAAACCTCTTAAGAAACTTTCTTGAGAGCAAAATGGATGGCTTTTCTGATCCTGTGGCCACCCCCCAAAGCTGAGTCTTATATATGAACCACAAACAAGGGGCACTTTAGAGAAGGAAAGGTCCTTGAAAGTCTCCCAAAAGTCAATAGCTGCAAAGCTGTAAAAACACCAAAAAATTCCACTTAGAACACGATAGCCAAAACCATACAAACAATGACAAAGCATACGAATAAACTGGCTTAAAGGTAGGTGAAGGAGAACTCAAGTTTCCATATTGCAAATTGAAGAGGTTAAACTGAAGAGATTGAGAATGCAATAACTCTTGTGGATATACTGCTCTAGCGTTTGCAAAGTGCTTTCCTAGCCATAACCCCCTAAGGCAAGTAATGGGAGGAAGATTATTATTATCTACCTTTTAAAGGTGAGGAAACTGAGGTTCTGGAAAATTAAGTGACTTCTCCATGATCACACAACTTATATGTGTTTGAATCAGAATTTGAACTCAGGTCTCCTGATTACCCTGTGGTGGAGATCTCACAACAGTCCCCATTCCTGCTTTTATGGGGAGAAAATCTAGGCTTCTTACTCTAAAGTCTAGTTACCCATGGCTCTAGTGAGCCCTATTTCTCCCAGAGTCCTATTCGGTCCTATAAATTCATAGAGGTAAACCAAGATGGAAGCCCTAAACGAGAAGAAAGCACTAGGAATAGTTAATCCCTTTACCAGATCTTTCTAGTTGTTAAACTTTGTACCTTTGAAAGACAAGTTCTGGATTGCTACTTCTTATCACGTTCACTTCCCTCTTGATCCAAGGTTCTTGGTGTGGCTGGGGACTTTGTCCAGAAATTCTTCTACTGAGTCCAGAAATATTCCCACCAATTCAACACTAATATTCCATTACTGCTGCCTAACATTCTGGAAACATCAAGCTCTTCATAGGAACTCCTCCTTTCTCTATATACTGCAGTTTTTGGCGGCATCAGGTTCCTTGGAGAGATCATATGGAATATACAAATTTCCTTCTGGAGAACCAAGTGTTTTGTCTAATGTATAGTCTGTCTCCCGTCACTTTTCAGATTTGGTACTTCATTTATCTGTCCTTACCTACTCTCATTTTAAAGTTCAAGCTGAAGTTACAGCCCAAACATATGAAATGGCTATAAATCAATTGATTATTTTCCTAAAAGTGATGCTTAAAAAAACAAGTTCCAGGTAAATTCACATCTTAAAAAAAAACCTAACCTTTCAACATCCATTAAGTTGACAGAAGGGGGGAATCATGAAGGACTTACAGAAAACTTCCAGAATACTCTGTCTTCTAACTCTCTTCTCCCTCTTCATTTTTTCTCCTTTTCTCTTTCATTGTATATGTGTACATTCATACATATGTTGTCTATATTTCCTCACGTTTATGTTAAACATATAAAATATGATTTATATCCATGAAAAATGATGGGTAGTATGGTTTACCTGTTAATAAGATGACCTTAGAACCAGGAAGATCTGGGTTCAAGTTCTTCCCTTGACAAATGTAATGCTAACAAATCACGTGATCCTTCAGTGCTCAAAGTAACTCTCTAAAACCATAAATTGAAGAGAAGGTACTGAGTATGCTATAGGCAGGGGACAGCCCCTGAGTACATGTGGGTCCTACTATGCTTATTATCATTATCATCAGTATTAATGAACAAAACCTGAACATCCCATAACTCCATAGTATAGCAATAGAAACGACAGGAGCTTGTAACAGAATTACCAAATCTCAGGTTCAAAAAGGACATCAGAGACCACCTAGCCCAACCTGTACCTGACAGAAAATTCTGTCTATGACATCTTTAACATAAATCAGCCTCCACTTGAGCACCATTAACCATGTTGTATACTAAATGCATTCTAATTTCATATTGCTTTTTTTTGACTGCCACATTACACTGATAACTCATGTTAAGTTTGTAGTCCACTAAAACCTCCAGATATTTTTTGCATGGAAAGTGTGTCAACTACTTTTGCTTCTATTTAGGAAGCCAAAATCTATTTTTTACAAGTTAAACATAGGCCCTTTAACTTATTGCCATGAAATAGAAACATCCCAGGTTTATCCCAGAATTCTAGGCTGTTGAGAATTTTTAGGTATTGATTCTGCATTATAGTATATTAGCTATCTATGATAGATTCACAGAAGCTAAAAATGATATAATAATATCATCTATGCTTTCATCTAAGCACTAATGAAACAAAATTGTACCAAAGGCAGAGCTCTATGGCAGTCCACTTGAAACTTCCATGTTGATATTGATCAGCACCACTTTTTGTTGTTTTTGTTTTTGAGTCACACAGTCAGTTCCAAATCCATGTAACTTCACCATCATTCAAGCCAATCACTCTGTTTTGTGGAAAAGGATTTTATTTTTTAAAAGATAGCTTGTGTTCATATAGTCCTTTAATGATTAAAAAGCATTTTGTCTAATTTGATCCTTCAAGCCAGTACCTATATTGATTATTATCTCTCTTTTAAAAGTAGGCAAATTGCAGATTAGGGATGACAAGTGATTTTTATAAGTCCACACAGTTTGTGAGCATCCAAGGCAGGACTGCAACTGACATCTTCCTGTCTCCAATTTCTACACACATTGTACCAGACTTCTGGGACCTTGTAATATAATAACTTTGTCAAATACCTTGATGAAAACCTAAGACTACTTTATATTAATCCCCTGTTTCACCAGTTTAGTAACCCTAATTTCAAAAAAAATTAGATTAGTTTAACAGGGATCCACTATTAGTTCCTGTCCTTACGGAGTTCACAGTAAGAGAAATTCAAGTAGAATCAGAATGTTCCCAGAAAAGTATTGGGAACATATCAAATGATCTATAAGGAATCCACTCTTTTCCTTCCTTTTCTTCTTTTTTATTTCAAGTTCAGATAGCTAAGAGGGTATAGAAATAACTAGATGAGTTCTGAAAACTCAACCTAGTGGTCTGACCTCATGTAAATCTGCTCTATGGCTATCATCCACATGCAAATTTCAGGGGACTAGTTGTTTGATTAAAACCCTTCTGACTTTTCTTCAACCTGAACTAAAATTTTACTTCATATGGCTAGTGATGAAATGTCAATAGGGATGTGGGGAGAGGCAGTAAGCAAAGTGTTTCTCTTTAAATGTTAAGGTGGGGGTGTCTTTAAAATGCCTACTGTTTTAACTAATTCCCTCTTGTCAAGCCTCAACTTTCAGAAGAGCACTAATGAATCAGAAGACCCACAGAGTGACACGAAGACTCAAAATTAATTGGCACTGAAGGATCCAAGGCTTTTTCAAATAATGTGATATATTGATTAACAAATCCTTTCAGAAAAGAACCTCTTTTAGTGAAATTTCCCTGAGTGAAGAAGGGACTGGCTGGTTGTGGTGGCTGAAGAAGAAGATGAAATAGTGATGCTGCCTCAAGTAAATTTTTGCTTAGGGCAAGCTGTGGCTCATACAAGTGTCTGGATCTATCTGGAAAACCCACATAGTGCTGTCACTAGAGAATGGGAGAAATCATACTTGTCACAAGGTGAGGAAGGCAGAAATATCTTCCAAGGAGGGCTAAAAGGAAGAAAAAGCCAATGGTTTTCCTTTTGGGTAGGAACAGAGGGAGAATGTCAGCTCAGTGTCCCTGTGCTATTTAACATTTTTATTAATAACTTGTATAAAGGTATAGATGGCATGCTTATTACATTTTTAGATGACAAAAAGCTCAAAAAAAAGATAACACACTGGCTGACAGAATGCAGATTTAGAAAAGAAAATGTCAGGCTAGAAAATGGGACTGAATGAAATAAAATAAAATTTATTAATAATAAATATAACATCTTACATTAAGATTCAACAAACCTACTTCAATGACACAAGATAGTAGAGGTATGGCCAAAAATCAGTTCATCTGAAAAAGACCTAGAGCTCTTAGTAGATGGCAAGCTCAACAGTAGTCAATAGCATGTTATGATCGTCATGAAAGCTGAGACTCTCTCAGACTGCCTGAAGAGAATCACAGTACGCCAAACCAGAGAGATGAGAGTCTGCTATATATTTCATTCAGGTTGCATCACAGCTAGAAGACTGTATTCTGTCCTAGGTATGGTATTTTAGGAAGCATCTTTATAACATGGAGTACATGGAGTAGGATAATCAGTATAATGAAGGATCTTAATTTCATTACCAATGAGGATTGATAGAAGGAACTATGGATGTTTCACTTACCAATAAAAGATTTTTTTGGAGGGAACCATCTCTGATTAGATCAATTATTATCATTTTCAAAAGGAATTAGACTTCTTTTGTTTGACCTTAGAGAAAGCAAACTTAAGAGCAACAGGTTGAAGTTGAAAAATATGCTTAGTATAAATATGAAGATGTGCCCTTGTGAGATGCTTTGTTCTGTGAAGGGCAGATGAATAATGGAGCAAGTTGGAACAATCACTGTCACGGACAGTGATAATCTCTACCCTATATTGAACTTCATGAAGTTTCTGGAAGAAAACAAAACAAAAAAAAAGAACATCAAGGTCTGCATTTCCTGAGTTGTGAGTTGTCTTCGGACATATGTATTCCTTACACATGTACTTCACTAACAATGTACTTTAAGTTTGTGTTGATTTTTTCCCCTTGGACTCTATATCATTGAGGGAGAGAGCACCTCAGGTTTTTGAAAGACTGTTTTTTTTTTTAAGCTAAGCCATTCAAGTGAATGCCTTTCTTCAAGAGTGATTTGAGTATATAAGCTCATTATTAATGGGAAACAACAGTGGAGGTTAATGAGATACAATGTTAGCAGTAAAAAATCTGTTAATTTATCTCTAGGACCTGAAGTGGCAACAAATTGGGTTAGTGGGCTCAGCGGAATAACATTTCTTGGACATTTCCAAACCAGGCTGCCTGCCCTCTGGCCACTATCCTCATCCCCTTCTCCTCCACCACTGGAAGCTTTGATTCTGCCCTGGGACATCTTGGTTCTGATAGGTAAGCTTTTGATTTTTCTTGCCCAGAACCAAGTCTCCACGTCTCTTTCTTGTCATCTACACACAATGCTGATGCAGTTTGCATTCCTTCCCTTTCCCAACTCCCAAAACAGCTTCCATATTTTATCTTCTTGTTCTCCTTTGTAAGTTCCTTGAGGGCAGGGACTCTCTTGCATCCTTTTATTGGTATCACTAATACTTAGCACAGTTTTGTTGGTAAACCACTTCAGTATATTTGCCAAGAAAACCTCAAATGGGTTCATGAAGAGCACAGTACGTGCTTTATCTCTATATCCGTCAATCTATCTATTATCTATTTTTCTACCTATCAATATATCTATTTGTGTAAGGAAATGTATATATAAATATACCTATACGCATGTGTATACACACAAATATATTTTGTGCATATATAAATTCATGTATATTTATATATGTATATGTGTGTGTATTGTGCCAAAGAATGGCAGTGACAAGTGAGATGATATTGTTGGAAATCACAGCTCGTGCTTTCATTGGTATAGAAAATTCTCTGATGCAAAAACTCCCTCTAGCAATACAGTTTGGAAAGCCATCAGTAAACTCTTACCTTAAAGAAGTGACTGGGACACTGAGAGATTAAGTGACTTGCCCAGGGTCACTGAACCATAACTAGTATGAACCATATTTACTACGTATCAGAGGCAAGAATGAAAGTTAGTTTTTCTTGACTTCATTTTTGATCATCTATATAATCTCTATATTGATTCCCCAATACAGCCATTCAAATGTGGAATTAACCTCCTTAAGAGAGAGTAGGTCCCACCTCACAGAAAGTCCTCAGACTGGACGATCACTTGTTGGGCAGATCCTAGAAGAGATCTTTGTACAGGTTTTGAGGAGGATGGGATCTAGACCCCAAAAAGGAAAACCCTGGACTTTCCCATAAGGCCAAGGCCAAGTCTCTGGAGTTCCCCTGAGGCTATAATCCCATCAAGTGGCTTTTCGCTATGGCTGTGCCCAATCTCTGTTACTTTCAGCCTAGCCTGGCCCTCCATTGTTTTACCTCCCTATGGCCCCTGGCCATTTCCCACCCTTAATCCTAGCTCAGCTCCATTCTCCCTTGGCCATATGGTCCATGTCCAAGGAGTTCTGTTCACCCTAATTTACAGGCCACTCCCATCCAGATCTCCTTAGACCCCTCCTCTAATCACCCCAAACTACTTGGCCACTCCTAGATCCCTCCCATAGCCCTTATTTATATAAGGTCCATCCTATCTCCATTAAGATGCTTAGATTCTTAAAATCTAGCCACTGCTCAGATTCTTATAATCTAGCCAATAGCTCCCAGATGCTAAGATTCCTTAAGAGTCTGGCTAATATGGTGGATCTTTAACAAACCTTGTCTTTGGCTAAAAGAAGGTTTGGGTCGAATTTTTCGGGTAGATCCCACATGTGATTTTGGGGTCCCAGCACCCCTACACTTCAACAGTTTGGCTTGGACTGATTGACTCTTTTAACTCAGGAATTCAAATCAAGTTTGGATGAGTAGGATTTATTGGTGGGGGTGTGATTATGTTAGGTGGAACTTATGATTTGAAAGGGATTGGGCAAGGCCTTTGGAGCTTTGTTAAATCAAATAGTTGACCCTTGCTATCAGTAATGAAGTATGGAGAGAAACTGGAAGAGCTACTCAAGGGTTACTTGAGAGAAAGCCTGTTGGATTACAAGGAAACCCAGACAAAGCCCTGATTCTGGAGACCTGAGAGCTAAGCCCATAATTGCTACTAAGTACCTGTTTAATCTTGGAAAGGCTCCTCATTCCAGAGTCTAGAAAACCTAGGTTCTAGTAATACCCCCACTGAGAAATACCTGTGTGAGTGACCATGCTCAAATCTATTCACCTCTCTGGGCCTCAGGTTCCTCAACTACAAAATGAAGGGGTTGTACTGGACAGTCTCCTAGTTCTCTTCCAGTTTGAGATCTATGATCCTTTCACTACACCCTTATAATTCTATGACTTCTTCACTGGGTCAATACATTATTTTTACATCCCTCCACTCTACCAAAAAAAGAAAAAAGGAAAGGAAGAAAGAAAAAAGAGAAAAGAAAAGAAAAGAACAGGCCTTTTACCTTTGATCTATTTTTCTATACCCATGCTTATATCAAATCATTCTAAGCTTCATAGGTGTTTTTATATCTTGCCTTCAGTGAGCAGTACTTAAAATTCAGTCTCACCAAATACTCAGCAATCTAGATAAACTCAAAAGCTCTGCTACTGTTTGTAATGACCAAATGGAAAACTTCATTGTCAACCCTGAAAGTCCCATATTGTCTTATTTAAAATGCGGTGTTTCCCTATGCTGTACCTAATCTACCAAGTGCTATATTCTTATATCTCTGACTTTAAAAAGATAGAACACCACACATCTACAAATGCATTACATAGTTTTCAGCAGAAGGAAGTCTGTCTACCTATCTTTATATGTGTCTCCAGTGAGCTTCAGCACTGTATCACCTAGTATATGTATATATAATTACATTTGTGTGTATGTATGTGTATATATGTATATATACACACACATATAAACCTATATGCATATATATTACATACATATACATGCATGTGTATACATACAAAATGAAAGCAGATGCTTGTGAGTATAATCTATGTGAGATGAAACTTTTGGAGAGTTTGTGTGTGTGTATGTGTGTGTGTGTGTGTGTGTGTGTGTATGTGTGTGTGTGTGTGTGTGTGTGTTTTCCTCCTATTGATTCCAATCTCAGCATCCTTAAAGGAATTTTGATTTCAAACCTGACCTAAGAAATATGCTTTGTGTGAACCCTTACATAAGGAGTTCAAACTGATAGTTTTGGACAGCACAACACTAAGCCAGTAGTTGTTGTGACAATCCTGTTGAAGGCAACGATTTCCTCATTGTAGACATGGGATCATGGGTGGTTTTACTATCCTCTTTTCTATATAGTTGATTTTTCATCATTTTATTTAATGGTCATTCATTCATACCTTTCAACTAACAGTGGTCGGCACCCAGGTCTCCATTGCAAGTCTCAGGTTTTTTTTTTCCTTTTTGCATTTTCTATTACATATATTTCCCTGTTTAATATTTCCCCTTTGAAAAACAGAATTGGCCAGTTCCGCAGTGGATGCTACAATTGATGAATACTAAGATGGATTGTTCCAGAATCATGAGAAACCATCATTGTATGCATGTCTATGTATGTAGGATGGCTGTAGGAAACATATGGTCTATATATCAACTTACCAGAAAGAGGTTCATGTTCATGCAACTAGTTAGAAGGAACTTGGATATGAACCATGTCTCCTGACTCTAGAGTTAGTGTACTTTTTCCTTTATGGCCCATGCTTTCCTTAGGCTAATGCATGTAATTATGAAATATGGATACCCATGAAGAAGCAGCTGCCATTCAATCAATGGGTATTTCTTTCCCAGTTCAATATATGAGATTGAGTTTTACAGATTTAGGAGACTTTCCTCAGATTCTTACTGGCAATGTGGTCATGGGTAAGTTTCTGTGTTTTTACAACACTACTCTTTCCTGGTTCTCATAGCTATCTAACTGCTCCTTCTTGGTCTCCTATGTCAACTCATCACATGTATCATTCCACTTCAGTGGACATGTGCCCTAAATCTGAGTCCTCTGCTCTTCTTCCTCTATAATCTCTCATATGGTAAACTCATCAGTTACCATGTGTCTATCAATTATCAGCTCTATGCAAATGACTCATAAATCTATATATCTACTCTATTCTCCCCTGACCTTCAGTCCTTTAGTACCATACCATCAACTGCTACTGAACATTTTCAAACTAGATATCCTAAAGATAAATATGTATATATGTATGTAGGTGTGTGTATATGTCACAAAACAAACAAACAAAAACTCTCTACATGTATAAAACAGAATTGTATTTTATTTTTATTACATTATCATATTATTATTGTATTACATTATGTATTAATATTATAATTGACTACTCCCTTGAAAAACAAAGAAAACCTTCCTCCTCTTCCAAACTTCCCTAAGCTTTAAAAAGACACCATCATTTTCCCAATCTCCCAGTTTCTTAAATTAATATTCTTTTGACTCTTTATTCTCCCTCACCCTGTATATCAAATCACTTGTCAAATCTTGCGTTTCTGCAACCATAATCTTGCCTATCTGATCCCTTCTCTGATTTCACATAACCATCAGTTTAGTTCAACGGTTCATAACCTCTTTTCTGGATTATTACAATAGCCTTTTAATTGGTGTCCCTGTTTCAAGTCTTTCTCATTCTGAATTCATCATTTAAGCTAAACTCAAAAAGATTATCTGCAATAGGTGTCTTGACTATCTTTTCTGTCACTCTTTTCTTAACCTCTTATAATCTGACTGCCAACTTTATAATCCCATTGAAGCTGCTCTTTCCAAAGTTACTGATGATCTAGTTGCCAAATCCAATGGCCTTTTTTCAATCCTCATTCTCCTTGACCTTTTTGTATCCTTTGACACTGTTGATAACTTTCTCCTCTTTGGAGGTTTTCCAGGACACACTCTCTCCTGGTTTCCTCCAAACTATCTGACCACTCTTTCACTGTCTCCTTTGAGGGATCTTCATCCAGATCAAACTTTCTAACTATAAGTATCCCCAAGTGTTCTGTCCTGGGTCCTCTTTTCTTCTTCTATACTACTTCACTTGCCGATCTTATCAGCTTCCATGAATTTAATTACCATCTTTCTGCTGATGATTTTCAAATCTGCCTTTCCTGTCCCAGTCTCTCTCCTGACCTCCAATCTTTCATCCCCAACTATCTTTCAGAAATCTCAAATTAGATGTCCAATAGGCATGTTAAACTCAATGTGTCCAAAACAGAACTCATTATCTTTCCCCCTTCTACTTTCCCTATTACTGTTAAGAGCAATACCATCCTCCCACTCCCTCAAGCTTCCAGCCTGGAAGTCATTCTAGATTCCTCACTATTTCTCATCCCCCATATCCAAGCTGATGAAAATGTCCATTGATTTTACCTTGCAATGCCTCTTGGATAAACTCCAGGCATGCCCTAATTCTTCTAATATCTACTATGAACTTTTCTAATTAGCTTTTAAAACCATTTATAACCTTGACTAAATCTTTTTTTGTTTTTCCAGTCTTAGTGTACATTACTCTCATTCCTACTTTTCCAGCCAAACCAGCATCCTCTCTGTTCTTCATACACAACACTCAATCTCCTTCTCTGTGTCTGCATTGGCTGGAGCTCTTCCCTGGAATGCACTACCTTTACCTTCTACTCACAAAACTTCTCTCTTCCTTCAAGGTCAAGCTTTCTCAGCACCACCTTCTTCATAAAGCTTTTCTTGTTCTCAACTCCTAGTGCCCTCCATTCCAAACTGCCTTAAATTTAAATACTTTGTGTTAATTTGTTATCATTTTATGTACAGCTAATCTACATATAACTAAATTAGTCAACTAGTATATATTAAGCACTTACTATGTGCCAGGAAGTGTATCAAGTTCTGGGCATATAATATGTACTTGTCCTTTCCATTAGAATGGATGCCCTTAGAGGTTAAAGATTATTTCTTCCTTTAGATCTGTTTTCATACAACTTGCACAGTGCCTGGAATATATTAGACATGATTTCTCAGTAGTAGATATCACTTAAGTACTCACTTAATTTCTGAGAGTTTCAGATTCTTCCTTTGTAAAATAAGAATAATAATATTCAAATTAACTAACTTATTGGGAGTATTAGGAAAACAAATTTTATAACTTTTTAGTGCTGTATACATGTTACCATTATTTCTTCTTCTTCTTCTTCTTCTTCTTCTTCTTCTTCTTCTTCTTCTTCTTCTTCTTCTTCTTCTTCTTCTTCTTCTTCTCTCCTCCTCCTCCTCTTACTCTTCCTCCTCCTTCTCCTCCTTCTTCCTTCCTTGCTTCCTGCCTTCCTTCCTCCTTCCTCTGCCTCTCTTCCTCATCTTGACACTGATCTCAATTGTATTTTGCAAACTGTTTCCCCACACACACACTTGGTCCTTCAATTAATAAATGTTGCTCCTAATTTTCCCTTCCTAGAGACAAGCAAAAGAGTCAAATTCCTTTTGAATATATATTCACACACTCAGAGATGGTTGTCCCATATCCCACCACTTCCTTCCCAAGCCTTTTATTCTCTAGGCTAAACATGCGCTGTTTAATCAGTCTTCATTGAGAATGGAATCAAGATCCTCCAAAAAGCTATTGTCTGTATAGATTCAATCATAATCATTATTCACTCCCTCAGTTGTCCATTAATTCCACTCAGTTTCTTTGATTTCTTGCACATTCAAAATGTGATGAAGTTGAAGGATGTTCTAGATAACACTTTGTCATGACAAAAAAAATGGAGAATTATTTCTGAACTCTTGAGGAAAAACAGAAGTAGTTATGCAAAAAAAAAATTAAACCAAAACTATTCTGATTAGAGGGGAAAATGAGGGCATTTACAGTATATTCCCACATCAGTGTTGTGAGAATGGGGGCACTATCCTCATGGATCCTACTCACTTCATAATAACTCCAACCGCAGTGGCCCCTTATCTTTTTTATCCACAGCCTCCATTTAAAAGGCAAAAAAACTCATTTTATGTATTCTTATTAACAGAATTCATGGTAAATTTATTTCATTTTTGTGTCTGTTTAAAATAGACTGAAATCTTCCTACAGGAAAAAAAAAAGATTTCCCCAAAGTCATTGAATATGAACAGAAAATTAGGTCAGATGTTCATAATCACTGCCTCAGTTTTTCTAGCTATTGAAGTGAGGATCAATGTTTATGAACAGCTGGTATTTTTCGGCTACTGAGGTTTGTTTTCAAACAACTCCAGCTATTTCCCCCAACAATCAACAGGTCTTGCTCCCCCTCTAAAATAAAATCCTCACTCTTTCCCATGGTAGCCAGAAGACACATTCATGCAGTGCCAGCCTGAGTTACAGATTTATTAGATCTTTGTATCATTAGAGTTATAAGGTACCTTAGATACCATCTAAGCCAACCTCCTCATTTCAGTGAGGCTACATGTATACTTGTTAGCTATGTGATGCTGGAAGAGTCACTTTATCTTTCTGAACTCAGTTTCCTCATACATAAAATGGGCATGAGAGCCATAGCACCAATCTAATGGGGATTTCATGAGAATCAAAGTAGAAAAATTATATTAAATAGTTTGCAAAACCTATATTGAAGAAACAAGACCCGAAAAGTAAAATGATCTATCCAGGGTTACAAAGCTAATTAGCTACAACTGAGACTACTTCTGACACATCAACTTTCTTCCCTCTTTTTTTTTTTGATTGATGAGGCATTTGGAGTTAAGTGACTTGCCCAGGGTCACACAGCTAGTAAATGTTATGTGTCTGAGGCTGGATTTGAACTCAGGTCCTCCTGAATCCAGGGCCAGTGCGCTATCCACTGTGCCACCTAGCTGCCCCCACATCAACTTTCTGAAGTTGACTTAATGGGACTAGCAAATTACTTATCCCCAATTTTTGCTGTCTATATCTTGTTTTTACATAGTTGTTGGTACATTGCCTCTCCGCTATTAGACTGTGAGGTCCTTGAGAACAGGGACATTGTTTTGTTGTTTGTTTCTTTTCATTTCTTCATATTCCCAGTATTTAACAGAGTGACTGGCATATAGTAGGAGCTCAAAAAATACTAGTTAACTATCAGTCAAACAACAGACATTTATTAAGTGCCTTCTGTTTATTGATTGATTGAAGTCACTTAAATGTTTTAATTATCAAATGTGCTATACAGGAATCCAGAGCCCCTGATTCTTCATTAAATACTACTTCTACTATGCTACTCAGAAACATTGGTTTTCCCTTAAGGAAAAGAGTCTGCTAGGGGAAATAATTGTATCATTTAACCTTCCCAAAACTGGTACCAATCAGGAGAGAATGGCATTCATTGAGTCATTCATTCAAGTACTAATTTACTAAATACCAATTATATTCAAAAATCTATGACGGAAAGTGACAGGTACAGAAAGAAGTAGAAGATACAAGACAGGATTACACAGGAGAAGCATTTGCATGATCATCATCCCTACTTCACAAAGTTGTTCTGAGTATCAGGAGAATCAAACAATAAAATATATTTAAAGTGCTTTTACAGCCTAAAGAGTTATACATTTTTCAAATAAGGGGGAGTAAGAATGCAGAGTAACCTCCCTAGTGAATGGTACAAAAGTATATTACGGTGGAGAAAAAGAAAATATACTGTTGGCCTACAGAGATTTTTTTTTTAAAAAGACATCATGGAGCAGATGGGACTGAGGTATGGAATAATGAAAAGTATGCAGAAAGGGCAAGTTATAGTGGCAGGACCAACCATGGCATGTTTAAGAAAAAAAAAAGGAGAGAGGTTCAGTTAGAATAGACAATTGGCACTTAATATTGTTATAGAAGGCTGAAAAAGCAAGCTAGATCCTGATTATGGATACCTTTTGTTAGCTGATGATATTGTAATTATTCCTTCTTTATTCATTAAATCACAAGTACTTATTAAGGACAAAACCCTGTGCCAGGCACAGAAAGCATGCTGCCTCTAGTTCCCCTTTGTGTACAGGAATATATGAGCAATATATCATCCTAGGTAAACAGAGTAACTCAAAAGGAAGCTCTAGAAGACACATGATCTCAATTTTATTTCCTATTTTGCTTCCATTTGACCAAAAGATCCTAGATCGAGAGTCTGAAGGGGCCATCTAGTCCAACTATTCCACTCTACATAAGGATATTGGATTTCAGATTTACCCATGGTAAGACAAGTATTGACAGAGTGGAGATTCAACCTTAGGTCCAATGGCTCCAAGTTCATCATATTTTTCCACTCTACCATTGCTTCCTCCCACTTGGCAAGGTCCTTAACTCTCTTGTTTCTTAGCTGTCTTATTTATAAAAATGAGAGACTTGGATTAGATGTTCATTAAGATCCTTTTTGGATGAGCCTGAGGATTGGAGAGAAAATGGAAAAGAGATCTCTAGTCCTTGGAAATAAGAGTTTAATAATCATTGGCTACAGTGGAACATCCAAAATACTTTTTAAAGAAATCATTCCATTAGCTTTATGATCATTCTGTCAGTTAGCAAGCTTCCAGCTGTTTGGAAACATCCAGATATTTGATGAATATTTCAGTAACCCTAAAGGGTTTGTTGTGTGGGAGCCTGTGCATAGCCACAGATTCATCTCTTAGGAATGAAAATATAGCTGATATGGGTTATTATTATCACTGGATCACAAATCTAGAGGTGGAAGGGTCCTCAGGAACTCTCTGGTCCAATTTCCTCATTTTACAAATGCCTTAGGGACATTAAATGACTTGCCTAAATAAACGAAAGTAATAAACTTTAGAGGTTGGATTTAAAGTCAGTTCCTCTCTTTTTCAGTCATTGCTATTTCTACTTACTATACTTTTTGATTGGTTTATTTCATTTGTTTGCTTTTTTACAGATAAGAAAACTGAGGCCCAGTATGGCTAAAGGATTTGTCCAAATCCACACAGCTAGTAAGTATTAAAGCTAGGATTTGAACCTAGGTCCTCTCCTGCAAGAACCAGCATTATTTCTAGTATGTTATATCTTTGAATGGTTTACTTAATTTGATTGTATTGAATGTTGCTATTTTTTTGGTCAGAAAACAACTGCATAATTGTATTAGTTACTTGCTAAGTAAAACAAAGGCAGATGACCTGATAATTTGCTGAAGGGTAATTGTTTTTTCTTATCACAGCATTAGGCTGCCACTTAGCTAGTTAGTGGCAGAGCCAGGCCTAGAACACTGGTCTCCTGATCCCCTAGTCCATTGCCTCACTGATTGGTCTTTTTCTTTAGTGGTCAAAGTCTTCAGAACTCTTAACAGGCATTTTTCACTGCTGTCATTTCACTGAGGTTCTCATGTACAAATTTAGGCTGGGGATTCCCATTTCGTGAATCATGTTCTTTTGTCTTCTCATCCCAGGAAAGTCTCTCCTTATGCTTGCACCCTACCCCATGTCTCTCTAGTTTCCAAAATGAGATATCGGTAGGTGAATGTAATCTTTCATAAGGAAACCCTCCTTTATTGGACAGAGATCTTACCACCTTCCTGCTCTGTGACATGACAGCGCTCTATCTGCATCCCCAAATAGCATTAGCCTTTTCTGATTCAATATCACATCTCTACTTGGTTGCAATATCATGCTGTAAACCATCCACCCTCCTCCTATAAAACTCTTTGACACTGCCAATTTCCTGGTTCTCTTTTTTACTAATAGAAACCAAACATTCAAGTATGTTGTCCTTTTTTTTTTATCCAAATGAAATCTCATCTTGTCATTTCCAACTCCTACTCAAAATTACATTGGATGGGAACATAATAAGGGTCTCTTAATCTTTTGCTGCATATTTCTTTGCATCTGTCTAAGCTGGAGAGAGCTCAGAGGAAATACTTTTGTGGTAAGGGATATTTTTCTGAGAGAAAGAGAGAGAGAGAGAGAGAGAGAGAGAGAGAGAGAGAGAGAGAGAGAGTGAACCAGAAAAAAAAAATCTGGTGCCATGTTTTATAAATTGACCTGACTTTTTAAAAAATACATGCAGCAAATCCAGCCCAATTACAGAAATAGGAAGCTCATACCAGCCACTCGCTCCAGCTTGTTTTACTGCATGTAGGCAGTCTGATAAGCATCAGCAGGACAACTGTTATATATTTTATAGGGGAGGAAGAACCTGCTTTGGATGACTGTGGGCATCTTGTTACATCCCATTCCTAAATCTGTCAAACATCTAATGACAGCTGGAGCAGAGAACAATATTTCACTTGTTCAAGAACAACAAGGTCCACAAGTTTTTTTAATGCTATTTTTTCCAAGCTTTTGAATGGTAAGGGGACAAGCTACAGGATATACCACATGTTCTTGTAAACCATCATAAAATATCATGCATGTTCATCTTCCCCAGGACCAGTCAGCTAGATTCCACATTTCAGTTCCCATGTAACACAAATACTTCTGCTAGAGAAGTTTAGCAAAAGTCAAACCTATTTGAAGGTGTCCCCACTCCCATAATCCAGGTGCTCCTTGGGGAAGCTGAGCCATTGTGATGAAAAATTTGAGTGATCTGGAAGTTCATTTCTTATCCCCTGATGTCATTAAAAATGTCAGGGTATAGACTTCTAAACTAATATTTTAGCCATAATTTCTTTCTTCCTTTCTTTTTTCTTTCTCTTTCTTTGTTTCTTTTTCTTCTCTCTCTGACTCTGTCTCTCTCCAAATCTCCATACCCCTTCCATCTCACTCTCCCTTTACCCCATCTCCCTTCCTTCCTTTTTTCTTTCTTTCCATCCTTTCTTCCTCCTTTTAAATTCAACTCAATAAGCATTTATTAAGTATCAATTTGTCAAAAAGCAGAATGGGGCAATGAAGTCATAGGTCTAAATACCAAACAAAACCCCCCAAATTTTGTGTGTATATACACTCACAAGATGTTGGGTGGGGGATGCAAAGATGAAATGATACAATGTCTGATACCGAGCAATTTGCAGTGTAATAAGATTACAATAAAAGGCAGAAGGTGACCATTGTGAAAAAGAGATGCAAACAAAATATTAGGAGAAGTTTGAGAGAGGGAAGAAATTACTTCCAACTGGGTGGAATCAAAGAGAACTTCAGTGAGACAATGGCAACTGAGTTGGATGTTAAAAGATAAAAGGAATGAAGGGGTGGAGAAAACACCTACCATTCTTTTTTGAGTTTCAAAAAATATCCGTGTGGTACAATTTTTTTTTGCTTCTTTAAACATTTGACACAGACTCCATGTTCTCTTATCAACTTCCACACAGATGCCAAATTGATAATCACAAAACATAGATCAGTCCATGTCACTACCCTTCTCTAAGAGACAGTGGCTCTCTATCCCTTCTAGGATAATATACAAATTTGTTAACATAGCGTTAAAGCATTTAACAATCTGCCTTTCTATTTACTTAACTTTCTACTCTTATTTCATATTTCACAGTGGCAATGGCAGAATGGAAATTGTTTGGAATAAAGGAGCCCTGGGTTTGAATTCTGTATCAAACTTTTACTAGCTGGGTAACCTTGGACAAGTCAATTAACCCCTCTGACTCTCAGTTTTCTCACTTATAAAATGAAGATAATAATGACATTCTGAAGGGGTCATTATGAAGATTAAATGAGATAATATCTTTACATTGCTTTGCAGATCTCAAAGTACTAAAGAAACATTAGTATCATCACCATCACCATCTTTCCCTTCATCATAATCATTATTGTTATTATACTCAATATAGTCTCTTTATTCACTTGGAATGGCCTACGGCGTGTTCCCTATACCCACTATTCCACATTTCTTCTATTTGTGTATATTCTCTGTCTCTAGAATGCACTATCTCCTCACATCCATCTGGCAGAATCACAGACTTCCTTAAATATATCAGCTACAACCTCCTACATGCCACCTTTCCTGATTGTTTCAATTGTTAGCCCACTATCTCAAAATCATTTTGTATTACTTTATTTCTATAGTACTTTGTATTATTTCCTTAAAACCTTTTATTTATTTATTTACATAAATAATTGATCTGTAGTCAATCCTTTTAGTGGAATGTAAGCTCTTTCAGGGCAGGGCTTATTTTTCTTTTTTTTTTTTTTGCTGTATCTCTAACACTTAGCTCTGTGCTTCACACACTGTGAGCAATCAATAAATATTCGTTGAATTCAATTAAATGGAAATAAAGACTGAATTTTTCCATATAAACGCTTGGGAAAGCATTAGGTTGAAAGGATTGCCATTTGGAATGTTTCTCAGGGTGGAAAAGTAAAGCACCCATTGATCTACATTCAGCTGGATCCTCTTGACAAAGGGTAGGCTAGAGAATTGCCACTGGCCACCAGCTAAATAAAGAATACAGTGCAGGGTGGGAGGGGCAGGGCAGCTAGGTGGCACAGTGGATAGAACACTGGCCCTGGAATAAGGAGGACCTGAGTTCAAATCCAGCCTCAGACATATAATACTTCTAGCTGTGTGACTCTGGGCAAGTCACTTAACCCCAACTGCCTCACTTGAAAAAAAAATAAAAAGAATACAGTGCATCCCCTGCTGTTCCTGGAAACTACTTAGCCTGAGAATTGTTGATGTAATGTCGAGAATACTTGATAGGGAATTAAAGAACCCGAGATCACACTTTGTTCTGAGACTTAATACCTGTGTAAAATTGTGCAGATTATTGCCCCTTGGATACTTTCTACCTTGACAGTGAATTGCAAGTAGCTAATTTTGGCTGGTACCTAGGTACAAAGTACCCTAGTAACATTCAGCAATTTCATGCCATCACTTTCATATATTAAGGATGAAAATCACCCAACACAATTCCACTAGAATTACTTCCTCCTTACTTTTGCGTGCTGACATTTCTAGAGAGTGAAAGGAAATCACATGCCAATAGCAATTATTAATCAGGTGACATCACCAGCCCATAATCTCCTGAGTCAATTAAGGTCAATGGAAAGAGATCTGAATATGAAGTGAGAGTACCTTGGTTTTCATTCTCTCTCCAACATTTATTAAAGACCTGGGCAAGTCCTTTAACTTCACTTGGCCTCAGTTTCCTCATTTATAAGATGGGAATGATAATAGCACCTATCTCTTAGAGTTGTGGCAAGGATCTGTAAGTAAGGTGAATTTTAGTGTGTCTAAGGAGGATTTTGTTATTATTTTTAGGGGACAGTTCCCAGGATCCCTAAAAATAACAATCTCTTCTTCCCAGGTATTAGATATGAGTTCTCATGATGATGGTTCAAAACAGTTTCTACTACACAGTTGCAGTAAATATAGAGATGAAGTAATGTAAAATTGTAAGGCCTTCTTTCTCTGTTGCCCTGTAAAGCAAATAGGCACTGGTCAGTGAATGGGGACCACCTTAGGGGTGAATGCCCAAGCTGGAGTGCTATGGGTACCTTGAATGGCCCTCCTCAAGGCTTGGGAGGGGGAATCGGTGTGTTTGCCTCAACCGGCCCCCATTGAGGCTTTAAGGGATTTAGGGGAGTGCACAAGTTGTGCCTGTCTCAACTGACCCCATTAAGACGGAGGGTAGTTGCCCCACCTTGATGCCAGCCCCTGAGAGAAGGGTTGTTAGGGAATGCTATAGGAGTTGGAGCTCCCATTATCAGCAAACTCCCTTTGAGAAGACTAGATTAGAATAAAGTAAGCTTATTTAACCCCTACGAAGCGGTCTTCTTGTCTGACTGGATCAAAAGTGAACCTGTGCTAGAACATCTGTTACTGTTAGGAGCCCTCCTGTGCTCTCCTGCCCAACAAATGGTGTTACCTGTGTGTTTACCAATGAGATAATGTTTGTAAAGTGCTTTGTAAATTTTAAAGTGATACACACATATACACGTAGGTACTAGCTATTATTATTATATTACACCTATGATCCTTTGAATTTTCATTTGTTTGAGGCAATGTTTTTCAGGAGAAAGAGCACTGTGAATTAAAGTTCTAAGACTTAGACTCCAAACCATAGTATGCTACTTACTGTCTAAATGTTGCCCCAATACCCTCTAATCTTCATGTTCTGAATCTATAAATTGGGGGTATTGATAATTGAGACAGGTAAATAGCACAGTAAATGGAGAGATAGACCTGGAGTCAGGAAAACCTTAGATCAAACGTAGCTTCATTTGCTACCTGCATGACTCTGGGAAAGTTACTTCATCTCTCAGCCTTAGTTTTCTCATTGGTAAAAAGGCGGATAATAAAAGCAGTTTAATTCTTGGGGTTGTTGTGAGGACTGAATGAGGTCATAGATTTAAAGTGCTTTACAAAGCTTAAAGCACTATATAAAAGCCAGTTTTATTATTATTATTATAGGCTTATTTAATGTCATTATTGGAAAGTACACTACCTTGTACTTGAATAACAATCCCCTCTGTGAAATATTTGTTAAACCCAATTGGGCAGTTAGCTCAAGAAGACTCATTGTTATTGACCTGGATCTGTGACCCTCTGGGAGATTCATTTTTACCAGAACTTATTTCCAGAGTTTTATGATCAGGAAATGTTTCTCAGGCATCTGGTGAAGGGATTGCTTGGGACTCCGAAACGGACTAGAGGTTCCAGAATGCAGCTATTGACAGAGGTTAATGAACACAAGCACCATCCCTCCTTGGTTTCAAGAATTTCAGTGAGGGGAAAGGTGTGAACTCCTGTTCAAACATCCTCTTCTTTTGGTTGCTTCTAATTGCTAGGAAGATCTCCTTATGACTAGATAAAATCTGCTTCTTTTTAGCACCACTTTAACATCTCACTTCCTAGTTCAATTCTCTGGGATGAAGAAGTCTTACAGTGCTTACCTTGCAGGCTGTTGTGGACATCAAATGAGATCGTGCTTGTCAAAGCCCTATAAAGCCTCACAAAACTGTTAGCTGCCATCAATAAATGCAAAATATGACAATAAAATAAGGGAGATCTGTCTTTTGTACTTGGCTTGTAGAATAGATTTTGATGCTTCACTCTGAAAAGTTAATGAAGTCATCTTGGAAAGTTTTCTTAATAAAGCCCACAGAAATCACATCTAGTTTACTGACCCTTGCACTGACCTTTCCTTCATTTACCATGACCATTCATTTTCCACCTAACCCTTTCCCTACCTTCTACTACTCTTGAAACAAAGAGAGTAATGCTACTGGAAAATGGAGACTTTGACCATACAGAAATGATATTTTCCTGAAAGCCAAATGGGAATAGAAAAGGCAGGCAAAGTATATTACTTTTCTTTAAAGTATGCTTTCTGACTTCTTTAAGCATTCTTTCTGCTTTGCATTAAGCTTACTTATAGTTATTGTTCTCCAAACACACTGCATTGCTCAGTTGGCACATGTAACAAACTGTCTTGTGTTGTTAACCTTATTTGTATATACATATGACTTAGCTCTCCAACTTGACTTTTTTAAGGAGAGCTACTACCTGTCAGATATTTAGATGGTACCATGGATGGAAAGCTGTTCCTAGAGTCGAGAAAACTTGAATTCAAATCCAACCATAGATACTTACTAGCTGCATGACCCTGAGTAAGTCATTTAACCTCTGTTTGCCTCATATTCCTTAAATGTAGAATGAGGTTAATAGCGGCATTTACCTCTTAGTGTGGTTGTGAGGATCAAAAGAAATACTATTTGTAAAAATGTTTAGCACAGTGCCTGACATGTAGTAGGTGCTATATAAATGCTTATTCTTTCCCATCTCCACTCTGTGAATCTCCCTGTTTCTCAGTCTCTCTCTTTATACAGTTCTTTGCATATCCTACATTATCTTTGTGATAATCTGTAATAAGTACTCAATAACTATTAAAAATACATTGATTTATGATCCTCATTGGGTCTCATCATATCTCTTCTTAGTCCCTTTTAAGTACACAAATATACTTATTTTCAGACCTGATATCCTGAACACCATATTTTAGGAAGGCTGATAATAATTAAAATTTATCACAATAAGAGGAAACAGAAGTCCACCATGAAAGGCCTCGAGACCATAATATATGAAGACAAGCTGAAAGAATTGGCATTTTTAGCCTGAAGAAGAGAAGACTAAAGAGTTGGCCATCTAGTCCAAAGGCTTCATTGTCAGATTAGAAAACCATGGCCCAGAGAGTAGTTATTTGCCCAAGGTCGTATAGATAAGGAGGGAAAGAGCTGTGGTTAGAACCCAGGTCCTCTGACTAAAAACCTTAGACTTTACCCATTGTATTAATTTCACATGGTTACTGGCTTTAAAAGGCTGTTAAGTGGAAGAAATGGAATCAAGTGCTGGAATTTGCAGATACATATTTAGAAACAATGTAAAAAAATACTTCATAAAATTTTAACTTTCCAACAGTGGAACTGAGTGGCTTGGGAAGTAGGTGTGTCCCTTTCAATGTAGGTCCTCCAGTGAAGAATAAATGATCACTTATTGGAAATGTTATAGGGAGAATTCTTGTTCAGATACAAGTCACACGTTCAAACCTTTGAGACATGCTAATAACACACATATAGTATGTGGCCAGAGGCTAAATTATGAAATCTAGCTTTCCATCTCCATCCATGCCTGG